ACAGCCTCCCTATACTCATTGCAATGGCTCCTCATCATCTTACCGTTCCGCTCCATCTTAATCCACCATCCAAAGAGCATTGTTTTGCCCTTCTTTGCTACTGATTTCAGTCTCTCCTCTATACTATTCCTAATTGCTTTGACAACTCGCAAAGGCGAAGAGACAATTCTTGTCCAGCCTGAAGATGGGCTAACCCCACCTAAAGATCAGTTTGCCAGCCTTTTCTCCTTGGCTAGTTTCTCCTGGATGGATACTTTCATTGCTATGGGGTATAAGAAATCCTTGGAAATCAAGGATGTCTGGAACCTCAAGCCCGAGGGACATGCAACTGCGGTTCTGGCCAATTTCCGCCAGTATAAGAAGGCTTGCACTATGGCATGGAATCTCCTTGGATATTTTTCCCGTGATCTGTTTATCCAAGGTCTCTGGGCAATTCTAGCTGGACTTTTCACATTCCTCCCTACTTGGCTTCTTAAGTTCATCCTGGAATATGTTGAAAATCCCGACGAGGTACCCGTGAGTGCTGCATGGCTCTATGTTATCCTTATTTTTGTTTGTGGAGCTGTCATGGCTGTCGGAGATGGCCAGTCTCTATGGCTCGGAAGGGAGCTTAGTGTCAAGCTCAGAGCCATCATCGTCGGCGAGCTATACGCCAAGGCTCTCAGACGTAAAGCTGGTGCGTTCGTTGGAAGTGCTCACAAGGATGAAGACGATACCAAGGATAAACTGAAGGGATCCAAAAAGGCAAAGAGCAAGGATAAAGAAGACGGCAAGCCAGAGACCGAAAAACAGGCAAACCTGGGCAAGATTATAAACTTGATGGCTATTGACTCGTTCAAAGTCAGCGAAATCTGTGCATACCTGCACTTCCTGTGGGCAAGTGTTCCGTCTCAGTTTATCGTGGCCGTATACTTCCTTTACCAAGTCATGGGAGTCAGTTCTCTAGCCGGAGTTGCAATGACGATTTTAATTTCCCCATTGAACGTTTACATCGCCAGCAGGTTCCGAGCTGTCCAGTATCAGATCCTCGCAGCCACAGATGCTCGTATCCATGCTACCAACGAAGTATTACAGAATATTCGAATTATTAAATACTTCGCTTGGGAGCATCGCTTTGAGGGCATCATCGACGAAAAAAGAAGAACTGAGCTAAAGTATATACGCTCCCGTTACCTGCTCTGGGTATGGGCTGTGACCCTTTTCTACGGAACACCGCTTGTCACAAGTCTCTGCACTTTCTATATTTTCACCCACATTGAAAACAAAAAGTTGATACCATCAATTGCGTTCCCAGCCTTGTCTATGTTTTCCCTTCTTCGTGTGCCCCTAGATCGACTGGCCGACATGGCAGCTCACGTTCTGGAAGCCAAAGTTTCCATTGATCGTGTTGAAGAATTTTTGACTGAAGAAGAAACTGAAAAGTACCAACAACTAAAGGACTGCGATGATGAAGACCCTAAGATCTGTCTGGAAAACGCTACTTTGTCCTGGGGGTCCAGCAGGATGGATTCTAACAATATCTTGGGCAGCACAGCTCCTGCTTTCCGACTGATTGACGTCAACGTGAATTTCCAGCTTGGAAAGCTCAACATCATTGCTGGTCCGACTGGGTCTGGAAAAACCTCCTTGCTCATGGCTCTCCTGGGAGAGATGAGCTTAATCAAGGGTTCCGTGTCACTTCCCGGAGCCACCAGCGACAGAGCTGACCTTCGTCCTGACCCAGTGACTTCATTGACAGAGAGCGTTGCTTACTGTGCTCAGGAAGCCTGGTTAGTTAACAACACTATAAAGGAGAACATTATCTTTGCATCAAGCTACGATGAGAATCGATACGAAGCTGTGATCAAGGCCTGCTCTCTGGAACGTGATCTAGAGATTCTAGATGCTGGTGACCAAACTCTGGTTGGTGAGAAAGGTATCAGTCTTTCAGGCGGTCAGAAGCAGCGAATTTCTCTCGCTAGAGCAATGTATAGCAGTGCTCGTCATTTGCTCCTCGATGATTGCCTCAGCGCAGTGGACTCGCATACTGCCAAACACATCTTCAACAATGCTATTCTTGGTCCGCTCATGATGAACCGTACCTGCATCCTGGTTACGCATAACGTCTCACTCGTCTTACCACAGGCTGAGTATGCTGTCATACTTAAGAATGGCCGTGTTACCGCTCAGGGATCTCCCAAGGATCTCATCGAGGCTGGTGCTATTGAAGACGATATTCTCAAAGCAGGCTCTGGTTCCCATGGACCCTCACAGTTGGCTTCCCGTGTGCCCTCGAATCTGGAAGAAATTGTCGCTGCCCAAGCAAAGGACACTGCTGCCGCAGGAACAAATGGAGCCGCCAGACCTTTGAAGAAGAAGAAAGCAACCGCAGCCTCACCACCAACTAATGAAGAAATGAAAGTTACTGGAAGTGTACCAATGTCCACTATCTACATGTACCTTCGTGCCATGGGTCCGTGGTACTACTGGGCTCTGGCAATGATATTCTTCGTCCTTCATCAGCTCGCATCTCTAGCACCAAACGTATGGGTCAGACAATGGGCCAATGCGTATGAGATTAGAAACAATACTCAGAGCGTATCGGTTGCTGGTTTCGATGTCCCCAGCCTGAATTTTGGGCGCACAGCCGCAACATCTCTTATGTCCCAAGCACCGAACGAGTCCTTGCTCTCTATCGCAAGAAGGAAATATGCTGACATCGACGAGTCGTACTACCTTTGGATGTACCTTCTGCTCACAATTGCCTACATTATCATTACTTTCATTAGAGAGTGGATTTTCTTCTGGGGATCTCTTCATGCATCCAGGAAAGTCCACGGTTGGCTACTGCGTGCCGTAATGCGAGCCAAGTTCAAGTTCTTTGATTCCACGCCTTTAGGCCGCATTATGAATCGCTTTTCAAAGGATATCCAGTCTATTGATCAAGATGTCGCAGTTACAGCCATCGGAGTTATACACTGCGCTGCTGCAATTGCCATGATTGTTATTCTTATCTCGGTTATCACCCCACAATTTCTCATCGCTGGTGTCTTCATCACCATTATGTACATTGCCCTCGGAGCCTTCTATATTAACACCTCGCGTGACCTCAAGCGTTTGGAGTCCATTCAACGAAGTCCATTGTATCAGCAGTTCGGCGAGACACTGAATGGAGTCGTTACGATTCGAGCCTATGGTGATGGTGCACGCTTCATTTTGGACAACCATGGTCTTATCAATACCTACAACAGACCTTATATCTATTTATGGGCAGCCAACCGATGGCTCGCTTTCAGAATTGACATTATCGGTGCACTTGTGTCATTTTTCGCGGCTGTCTTCCTTATTCTAAGCGCTAGGAAAGTGGACGCTGGGGCTGCGGGTCTAGCAATGACATATGCCATTACCTTCTCCGAAAACATTCTCTGGTTAGTCAGACTCTACTCTGAGAACGAGCAGAATATGAATTCGGTTGAGCGTGTGGAGGAATACATGAAGGTGGAACAAGAAGCACCAGCTCTGATAGCTGAAACCAAGCCAGCCGGAGTATGGCCAAGCAAGGGTGCTGTCAAATTTGTCGATTATTCTACCAGATACCGTCCAGATCTCGATAGAGTGTTGAAGAATGTGAGCTTCGAAATCCAACCCGGTCAACGTGTCGGTATTGTCGGTAGAACCGGTGCAGGGAAGAGTTCCCTAGCATTGGCCCTTTTCAGAGGACTTGAAGCAGAAACCGGGAAGATTCTAATTGACGATGTTGATATTGGATTGATCGGTCTGCGCGATCTCAGACAAAACATTACCATCGTGCCGCAAGATCCTACGCTTTTCACGGGAACGATTCGAACTAATCTAGATCCCTTTGGCTTGTTCACCGATGAGGAGATCTTCACTGCCTTAAGACAAGTTCATCTAATCGGTCCCGCCGGCTCTGAAGAAATAGAACCACCATCAAGTAGCTCCGCAGCCGAAAATGCGGAACCGGCTCAATTGCTCCTTGAAGATGACACTACAGCCAACACTCCTCAGGACTCCAACACCCTAGTTGGTACCGCAAATGGCAGCACAACTGATACGGATTTTGGCGCAGCACACTTACAAGATAACAAAAACATATTCCTAAACCTTGAATCAGCTATCACGGAGTCTGGTTCTAATCTTTCTCAGGGCCAGCGACAACTTCTGTGCTTAGCCAGAGCGCTACTAAAATCTCCAAAAGTCCTCCTTATGGATGAAGCAACTGCTTCAATTGATTATGCCACCGACTCCAAGATTCAAGATACTCTTCGTGAATTAAGGGGTAACAACACCATATTGACAATCGCACATCGTCTTCAAACTATCATCGATTATGATAAAGTCCTTGTCCTTGATCACGGTGAGGTGAAGGAGTACGATGGCCCATGGCAGCTGATTAACCAAGAAGGAGGAATCTTTAGGAGTATGTGTGAGAACAGTGGAAATATGGAGTCGCTGTTAGAAGCTGCGAAGAAAGCCTGGGAGCAGCACAGATTGGTGGATGATTCCTAGAATATCAACTAGGGCAAATCCCTCTTGTTGACCTTCGCTTTTTTCGGCAACCAAAAGAAATTGTACCTTTTCCCCCGTATTCTTATAATATTTTGTGTTTAAGTCTCAACAACCTATAGTAGCTACCGCCATTGGAAAAACTGTGCATTGGCCTACTGTTGTCCTTTTTTGCTTTAGCAGTTATACATAATGCAAAGCTATTAAAACGTAGTGCAAAGGTCTTTCCCCTTAATACCGCCCCGATAGCCTGTAGGTTCTCTCATTTTATTATGGAAGCATCTCCTTGTGTTATTTTCTCTCTTGCTATTAGCCTTAGTCTAGTCATCCAACGCGAGGAAACACTCGGTATCGCCACGTTCGGGTCCCAGAGAATGAATGATAACAATATGATCCTTCGTTCCTCGAAGACTATGGATATATCATCACAACCAAGAGATGCCTTCGCTAGATGCTGGGTATCAATGATACACGGATGGTGTGGTTACTCCAACTTAATCAAGTAAGTTAGACGACTTCCTGCCACTGGTATTTTTGATAACAGGAAGGGAGTTTGAGTAGAATTGGGTATACTTCCTCCTAATACCACCGCTCTCATCCGATATCATTTCTGATTTTTCTTCCTTATCAATTGTAAGAGGATTATTTGAGCTTTCATCCCCAAATAAATCCGTGAAAGCTTCCTTATCCAATTTCCGTAGGTTTTCTTGCAGTGCTAGTTTTTCTGCTTCTTTTGCAAGCCGAGCGTCTTCTTTCTGTGCGCCACCAGACGCAAAGGCCTGATATCGTTTAGCAAGCATAGCACGCTCCTCAGCGCTTTGTTGGGGGAGGAAATCTGCTTCTCGAGGAATAACAGAGCGGATTTTTGGTACATTTGCCAGAGCTTGCCGTGAGGCCGCAATACACGGACAACTGCAGCTACGAAAGCATCGCTCCATACATTTATGACCGCATGGCAGCATTCGATCGCAGTTCACTTGGCATTGTAGCTTAGAGTGAGGGATGCTATTTATGTTGAGGTCAGTGAGTAAATTTGCAAGCACCTAAGAAGACTGGGAGAGCTCATACGCATGGCATAGTAGAGGACATGTATGCCCGCACTGCGACTCCTCTCCACACCTCTGGGAGCAACCCCCATCATTATTTGACCATTCATCAGGGTCTAGAGATAGGCATTAGCATGATTTGGATTGGAGCTTATATTCAAAGGATGTGGCATCATACTACTGATTAATGTCTTGGTCCCATGCTTTTTGCACATCAGAGGAAGGAAGTATCCCAGTCGTTTTGGTGTTTTTCTCATAATTTGTGATACTTCCCACCACAAACCATTAGTGATAGCAAGAGATTCAGCATTCCCAAAAATATAAAATCCTCGTTTGGCACGGGATAACGCAACGCAAACGCGATTCTCATTTGCAAGAAAACCAATATTGTCTGCTTCATTGCTCCGAACCAAAGATAGAATCACAACTTCGTTCTCTTCTCCTTGGTAGGAATCGACAGTGACCACCTTTGTGTATTGGCCTTGGAAAAGTTTATTTTCTTTCAACGCTTTGAGAATGAGCTTCCGTTGCCCATTGTAGAACGTCAAGATGGTAATATCCTCTAAAGGTACACCATTCATGTGCAAGTAGACATAGAAGCCTACAATCATCTTTGCTTCCTTCTGATTGTACCTTGACGACAAGCTGTCAGAGGATTCAGTCCACTCATGCGTAAAAAAGTAAGAGTTGATTCCTCCCATCCCTGGCACATCTTTGCGGTCTAGAACGCTGGGATGGTCGTTTAGATCGTCGTAAATGGGTGAGAGGATGCGGCGAATCTCTGGAGCCATGCGTCTCTGGCTGGTCAATCTTTTGAACGGAATCTTGTTTCGAACAAGCCTCTCGAACATTGAGATGTTCAGGTAGAAGGGTTCACCTTCAAGCTCCTGCATAGAACAACTGCCCCTAAGTTGCTGGTGGTCCCCAACTAAGATAAGGTGTTGCAAGGATTCCATGCATGCTGCAGCCACAGGAGCTTCTAGAACCTCAGCCGCTTCTTCAATAAGAATGATTCTGGGCCGCAGGCTAGAAACAAGAGCGCGGTATTTGCTCAAACCTGTAGTAGTCATACCAACTACTCGTGAATCCCGCAGTATTAGAGAATCCCTTTCCCATTTCCCGATCTTTGCGTTTTTGCATGCCACATTGTACTTCTTGAGAATATGACAAACTTTTTCACGAATGGCTTCCTTTGCCCGTTTTTGAAGGACCGAATAAGTTGCAGCACGCACGGCACTGGGGATCTTCCACATATCATCATACTTCATATAACCGGTTTCAATGGACTTCTCAGAATACGTGCGAGGTCCTCTAGTTGTAAATAGCTCCCTCAAAGCAAGGAATTGACCCTTCAGGACCTCATAGTCATCATCATCCAGACCATGTTCAGCCTCAAGTTCCTTCAGCTGCTCATACTCCATGTCAATTTCTTCTTCAGAAAACCCGAAATTTTCTTGTCTGTACACCAATTCGAATTTTGTCAGCGCATCTCCCAACCAGACTGACATTGGATCGGTCTGATCGCCTGCTCGTATCCATCCCGCTGCTCCTTTAATGAGCGAGTCGTGTTGGGCTATCGAGATAATTCCCAATTTTAAAAACAGCGATGGTTGTAGAGGTGAGTGTGAGTTTTCTGCTCGAAATGGAGAAAGAAGTTCAATAATTTGATCTGTAAGGTCGCGTAACTCTTTTCTCGCGGGGACAAGACATCCTCCAATAACAGATGGCAAGTTGTTCTTTTTCCGCAATTCGAAGACGGTACGTGTCCTGATTTCAGAATCTGTGCTTCTTCCACCAAGCCGAACATAGCTTTGCTCAAACTTTGATATGTGACGAAGCAGCTGGTCCAGAGCATGGTTAGTCTGTGCGGCGATGATTATGGGGGGATCACCCTGGCGAAAGTTTTCTAGCATCACTTTTACCGCCACAACGGATACATGAGTTTTTCCAGTACCTGGGGGTCCTTGAACAATTGATAGTTTTTTGGTCAGTATTTGCTGCAGAGCGTTCCACTGAGAAGAATCCAAAGTATCGGGGTGGGCAGGCCATCCGATACTAGTATTAACCTTTTGAAGGTCTCCATCCTTAGAAGGTAGCACGCTGGACATCTTGACCAATGGATCATCTTTTATATATTGGGGAGGCTCGATTGAAGGCTTAAGGTCACAGATATGCTCTGAAAGTGGAAAGCTATATTTTTATTGTTAGTATTGTGATATTTTGCAGCACAGGGGATGACAGTTTACCTCTCGCCTGACATCTTCTGTAGAGCACTTAGGGTATGCCTGGAAGCTTCGAAGTACCCAGTTCGGGCTTCTACCATAACCCATTCCTGTTGATAATCAAATTCGAAGTCTTCATGACGCGGAAAAAATATATCGACCTCCGGCGGGGAAGCCTTCAAGCCGTCTAATGGCCTCGCTGCAACTGTGGCTACAATGCATTTGTTCTGGAAGGAATCACTTGCTGGAGATAATGCAACAATATTTCCTGTCATTAGACGCTTTGAGTATTCCCACACAATTTTTTTCCCCGCTCTGAAAGTCGAGAATTGGATCCTAGCGGCAATCCCAGCTTGTGCAAACGTCACCCCAACGATATGAACCTAGACGATGCGTTAAAATTGGTCCCGCCTATTAATCCTTGGAAAAGTAGTTACCTTTTCATAAATACAGCATTGAGATGAGTCAGACATCTTTGGATCATGACGAAAATATGCAACTGCATCTCTTAACGGCGCAACTGCATCCTCACGAAGTAGCTCGTAGTGAGTCTTGAGATAAGTATCCTTTGATGGCCAAGGGCCGTAAATCTGGTTGACACCAAGTGAGATCACTTCTTCATCGTCAAGGCCCAGAATCTCCTCAGAAGATGGCAGTTCAGGGTTAGCTGTCCAAGTTCCAGGCGTACCAGAGTGATCTGAGCTGGTAACATATTCCTTAATCTCCTTATCAATATGAACTGTTGGGTGAACCTCACTGAGCGCGTGAGAATTCGCTGGCCAACTTCGGCCTCGGCCTCGACTGCGGCCCCTACCGCGTTGGATCGCTCGACCTCGCATCACTGCCCCAGTCTAGCTAGCGATAGTGGTGCAAGCCTTGAGAAAACGGCAAAAGAACCCTCAAACCATGTGGTAATTTGAACCACCAACATGAGACTTTGAGCTATTGATGTCGGATAGAGCAAGTTCAGGAAACAGAGGAAAAGAGGAGAAGCGGAAAAGAGGAAATTATTGATATAAATTAACTAAACAAAGCGAGCCAAGAGTGAAGCGAGCGGAATTTGCCGGTGTATAGAGGACAGCAAAGCACGGAATATAAATGATAGGAGAGAATAAGTGAGAGGAAGGGCGTTTATGGGTGTTGTGTCTTAGTCCTAGGGCAATCGCGAAGGACACAATACTACAACACAGCCTGAGCAAGATTGTGAGAAGAAGGTGCTAGAAGGGGGCAGAAGGATGGGATAGAAAGTAACAAGACTAGCGTTGCTAGTACTTGATGTTATTATCTGATACAAGTAGAGAAAACCCTTGGTAACAAGGGAGTAAGTTGGGACAATTTTCTTTATCTTCAGTAAAAAAAAAGAATTGGTGAAATATGATCAAGATGCGGGATACTGCATCTATGATCTAATTGATTGGTGGAAGAATGAGACATAATCAGCATATTCGATCTTCTCAAGTAATAAACAGGCCAGAGATGTCTCTAGCAAACGCAGAAATTCGCGGGTTAGCCACGCTATGGATCCAGAAGGGAAGCTGATATGTAAATATATACATATGCATGGTATGTAGCTGCAGCCAACAGAATATATTCTCTAAAAAATGTCAAAATCGTAGTAGATACGGCAGTTCAGCATGTTTCGTCTCATGGTTTATGGGTTTAAGTCGAATGGAAATAGATCTCATCAAGGATGAAGTCGGGTGGACAGAAAGTCGGATTAAGGTTTTTCCAAAAAGCGACATTAGGCGCCCGAAGCGCTCAAAGCGCCCAGTCGCGGCTAACCTCTTCTACGGCTTTCTTTGCGCCATTCGAGAAGGCGACTGGGGACTTCCTCATGCGACCATTAGGACTTCTGACGTCCTGTTTACTTTGCTGTCTGTACGGGCGCATGTAGCCTCTTTAAAGACAATGCGTTCTTTACTCGCGGAAGCCTGCTGTGCAAGTTATATTTTCCACCCAGTTCCTGGCGCACCGGAGTTTGATACCACCCCGAATCAATAACCTACTTCCGCCCGCTTCAATCTGCTATATAGAGCGGTATCGAATATAAACTCCCTAGAGTCGATTCGCAATGCCTTCAATTTTAGATGACGACGATGATCGAGATTTGATCGGTGAGTTTGGCAACTTAGCAAAGCCCCGCGGCGATAGCAAGGATGGCGCATAGCTAATACGTTCTATCACTTTAATAGGATCTCAAGATGGCAGCTCGGATGGCGGCATGGATGATACCATGCAAGATATGGATGATATGGAAGTTGATGTTGAGCCTGAGCCTGAGCCCGAGCCCGAGCCTAATTCTCCTTCGAATTCCAGTGTTGTCGATTCGGAGCACCATGCTAGAAACGCACAAAATCCCGAAGTGATAATTACTGCCCCTGCGCTCGATCCAGTTCCCGATCAGCCCTTTATGTACAGGCCACAGGTCCGTCCAGAAGTGCTGACTGCTGCAACGTATGACATTGTGCCGACAACAGCTGCCCCCCATAGCACTTCCATCAATGCTGTCACTTCAACAGCCGATATGCGCTGGGTATTTACCGGTGGCTCGGATGGATACGTGAGAAGGTTTAATTGGGTCGATTCTATCAACAGCAAGCTCATGCTCACTGTTGCCCAGCGCCATCCATTTGTCGACAGCGTTGTCAAGGCTGGCGTCTTGGTGAATTACTGGGAGAACATGGATGGTACCGCAATGTCGCCGGTATACTCCCTTGCAGCTCAAGCAGAAGGACTATGGCTTCTTACGGGCTTAGAATCGGGCTTCATTCGATTGCAATCAGTTCGTCATGACGAGGGTAAAGAAATTGCAGTACTCAAACAACATACCTCTGCGGTATCAGTCTTATCTCTTACCCACGACGAGAGATCGCTTTTGTCAGGCAGTTGGGATAAGAGAGCGCTGGAGTGGGACCTCGATACTGGAAAAGTGAAACGCACCTTTGGGCCAAGCATTGGACAAGTTTCCGCCATTGAATTCCGTCCTGAATCAAGCCTCCCCGTCCCACGGGAGATTGTGGAGAAGCCACTAACAAATGGCACATACTCATCTAATAACCGTGCTGCCCCATCAACCAACCAAAGTTTTGTTAACGGTGGAGGGAATAATAAAGATGGACAAATCGGCGACCAGCCTGGATCTCCTGCCGATTCTCTATTTGAGGCGGACTCGCTTTTTGGAGATGCAGAGGGTGGTGGTGATGCTGACGCTCCGTCTGGTGGCGCATTTGCAGCAGAAGACGATGAGTTCTCCCAGGCACTGGCTAATGGGATAAAACAAAAACAACAGGTGCCCCGAAAAGATGCAGACGATAGCACTTCAAATGCAATGCCTAATGGAATCGTCTCGAATTCGGAATCACTGATAGAAAGTATCCCTGAATCAGGCTCCACTAGCCAACTTCAAACAACTAAGCAAGAACCAGAAGACTCACAGGTCAATGGGATATCTGACTCTGTAATGAGTGGCCTCCCACACGCCGAAGATATGGAGTCTTCAGCAGCAACCATGGAAAAAGGCGCCACCGCGAGTGACATGAATTCCCTCGGAAATTCTAATAGTACTTTCCTGTCTGCTTCGATAGATGGGACAATTCGAGTGTGGGATCGTAGGCAATCGGATCCGATTGCCCGCATAACGCCGCGAAACAGTCCACCATGGTGTATGAGTGCTTGCTGGTCTCCTGATGGCAATTATATCTACGCCGGTAGACGAAATGGTACTGTTGAGGAGTATAGTTTACACAAAGGCCTTCGGGATCCCCAGAGAACCTTTAAATTCCCACATGGGAGTGGCGCAGTATCCTCTGTTAAAATAATGCCCAATGGGCGACATCTTATCTGGTACGTTGCTCTTCAACCTTTACTTTACTCATTCTTTAGGTCATTTATGTACATGACGCTCTCTCTCGCGGATTGCTAATATATTCTTTGTACCGATAGCGCTTCTCATGATATTCTACGCTTGTATGACTTGAAGGAAGAGCAGAGCTCTAGATCTTCGGTTCCCTTCCTCATTATACCCGGCCATCGTACAGGTACCATTTCCCAGCTTTACATGGATAACGCCTGCAAGTACTTGATTTCTACCGGTGGAAACCGAGGGTGGGAAGGATCAACGACAGAAGTCCTTCTTGGTTATGAAATATCCTCCCTACAGTCCTAATCCTAACTAGAACACATATTCTATGTGCTGCCTATTTCCCTTCCCTGATTTAATCATCAGCATCTAACAACCTCCTACATCTTACTGATACCTTTTTCATTTTTTTTGTTATTTAATTTTTGTTGTTGCTCACCGGCTGGCATCAACAGGTATTGTGATGTGCCTTTTTATCGTTTTATGGGTTCTATCAGGTCTGGTCGGCGGATGGCGTTTCTGCCGAGGTTGATGCTTATATTTATTCTCATCCTGCAGCTTTTCTAGGAAATATTTAATTTAAAAGAGGAGGGAATTCAATGTATTAGCATGCGTGTATACTTCACTATACAACATCCTTTTATTAATATAGTTTCGTTGAATACTGTCTGTGAGCTATCCCTAAAAGCCTCTCCCTCATCCAGGTATATTTATTAAATTCGTTATATATATCATCATGTTCACAGGCCAACGTTAAATATTCGGATATCTTGCATAAAAATCAATAAAAAAATATTCCAAAATCCATGACAGGAAGCCACCCAAATTCCATCCATTCCGTAACCCATAGGAATACATGATATATACCGAATATGCCACCTCCAACTTGGCCTTTCCACAGGGCCAGTAAATCATAGAGCAGCCCCCACACCTCTAATGCATAACAATATGAGATTAAAGGCCAAGATTAACACCTTCACAGACAGACTGGATTTGCTTCTTCCATTCAGTATAATGCATGTCCGCCCTTCCGCCTCGATGTACCATGCCACTTTCAAAGTAGACATATGCGGGGCCCGGGTGTCTTCCAGGTGACTCGGATGATTCCATGACATAATTCATCTGTTGCATTGTTTCCGAGTTTAGAATATGAGGCTTGGATGGTGCTTTGCCACTCGTGCTAATGGAAGTCTCACTGGCCACTAATAACGCGGGAGGTAACTGGCGCTGGGTTATAGAGAGATGAGTTGATACCCAGGTAGGTGCAATCATGCTAGAGGATCCCACTCGCATGGTCCTCACAATATCAGATATAAGCATCTGGTCCAACTTATCAATATCGACGATATGGCCAGGAGAACGCAAGAACAGAACCCGCTCGTAATCAAGTAGCTGTTCTGATGCCTTTTTCATCATCTGCGTTTCTGATAATGCCTTCGGCCGTATATTAGAGGTATCAACCCCTTGAACAACAGCATTCAACCTAGTACTTGACTTCTTCAGGATGGCGAGAGCGGATGAGACACTCTTAGTTGGAGAACTAGCATCCCATGCCTTTGGATATAGGAGAATTCTCTCTGAGGTCTGAGAGCTGTTTGATGCAAGTCTCTCGAAAAGGAGTATAGTAGAGCAAATGTCGGAGGCGACCGGTTTTGTCAAGATTTGTAAGAACGCATGCTTTGACTTGACTATTTCTCCCTCAAACTCCTCATTTTCTTCGGCGAGCCCGTCTAGCGCATATTCGTCTACTCCTTGGCTTAATTTTGTCCGTCTGCCCAAAATATGGCCCTTTCTCTTGGTGTCAGGGTTCGCGACTGGCTCAGAAGATAGGTTGGCGTCATCCCATGTCTGCTCCGAAGGATATATCGGTTGAAATTTGGGATTTGCTGCTGGTGATCGCTGTAATGCCACCTGTATATGCTTCACCGATTGCTGCTGCAAGGCATACCCGGATAAAAAGAGAATAAGAGTGAAAAATCCGAATATTGACGAGGATAATGCGACTCCAACGGTGGAAGAGCTAAGTAATACCATGATGTAAACAAAGGTTTATGCGGGCGCAGAGCATGGATACAGCCGTATCATTAGGAGAGATAGGGATAGAAACAATAAGAATATGGACGAGGTGCTTTAGATGCTATAAGTAATTGAAATCACGGACCCATTGCCTCATAGGACCTTGCCGCCCATGTCGCAGCGTTGTGAGTTATCGTGAACGGGCCCTGAGATGGCGGTTGGAAGGGCAACCGGCTTATCGATAACTAACTAAAGCCTGCCAACCTTAATTTGATGCCGACGATAAAACACCGCCAAGCTTCGATTTCTTCAGGTCGCCAGCATCCATTTCACCGAGAATCGCTTTGTGACCTTTCTTCCCGCGTTCGAAACATATTTTACCGATTAACTGCACGAAAGCGAGCCGAAGGATGTCTCATCATCGCGCAGATGCCAGTGCTCTTCTTGATACTCGTGGCTACTCAGGCCCGCTGATTCGCGGCGTGAACCCAGCAACACTCTTCGAGAAAGCAGTTCGAGATCGAATAACAGACTCCTACTATTGGAAAGAGCAGTGTTTCGGATTGAATGCAGCAACTCTCTGCGACAGAGCGGTTGAGTTAACCTATATCGGCGGCACCTACGGCGTGGGCCAGAAGCCAACTCCTTTCCTCTGCCTTGCTTTCAAGCTCCTACAACTTGCACCAGAGAAAGAAGTGATATTGGAGTATTTGAATTTCCACGATCCAGAAGCAGATGAGGAGGATCCGAATGTTAAGAGGGATAGCACGGACGCAGACGGGGGTGCAGAGGATGCACAAGACAAAGCCGATGCAGCAATACTAAAAGCTACGGGGGATTTCAAATACCTGCGCGCGCTAGCAGCGTTTTATATACGACTTACTTTCGAGCCAGTGGAGATATATAAAACGCTGGAACCGCTTTTGACGGATTATAGGAAGCTGAAGAGACGCACCAAGGAAGGCTTCTTGCTAACCTACATGGACCAGTTTGTTGATGACCTACTCACGAAAGATCGCGTGTGTGGAACTAGTTTATGGAAGATACCGACGAGAACCATGTTGGAAGATTTGGATATACTCGACGAACGGATCAGCCCTTTGAATGACGAGCTAGAAGATCTAGATGAAGAAAGTGAACAGGAAGACGACAAGGAAGAGGGAGAGAATGGTGAAGAAAACACCGCCAGTCCGTGATTTATCAAAGGCCCTTGAAACATTAAAAAAGATGTTCGGATATTGCAATCAGTCTATCTAGCTAAATCTCTGTCCGGCCGAGGCCGCTGATGCAGATTGGAGCAACTTCCTACGAAAATCCCCGTAACACGGCGACTTTCGGGATGCACTACCAGTCTTGTTGCAGCGTGACATGGAGCGGTCACAGGAACGCTACTCTAATCCCAGTGGAGGGGGAAAACTGTTCCCCAGGCTGTCCTCCGGGTTCAAAGGCAACGAACCAAAAGACCAGTGATATTATTCACATGTTGAAGCCTTTTATACCGCATATCTGAGACAGCGTTGCCATCTGATTATTCTCACTTGGTTAGTACAACGCCGCAACAGGGCAAGAAATGAAGGTAATGGCGATTGGAAAGTCCAATAAACGAACAGGCAACGATACTTGAAGCATGAATTCAGCATTTTATTCAAAATTTTGATAAATCTCGGATGATAGTCTGCTTATGCTATGGCTAGCGCCTAGATTGTCTCTATAGTACTAAATCATCACTGAAGTCCCGTTAGCAATGCCGTTTTTCAGTTTTTGGAAAAGAGGCCCAGATCTACAGTATGGACGCATTGATTCCACATAAATTGCAAATCACATTCCCACCAGTTCTTTGCAATGAAGTTCTTGCCCAGAAAGACAATCTAGAATTTATGAGGAGAATCGGTGATACAACTTCCTTCGCTGTGCAACCCGATCCATGCGATTATTTTCCAGTTTTAACCGCGAATCAGTCCTGGGTTTAGATAGTTCTATTGAATAAGGTGTTAGGTCGGAAATAAAGCCGTAGAAATACGATGTACACATTGCTTCATGATGTTTTCCACTGAGTTGTCTATAAAACTTCGGTATTGTTTTAGTATATCAAATTCTAGGCTGAGCAATAGAATTCTGTTCAGGAGCCCATATACCCGGATAGCATGACAAAAAAAAAAAAAAAATATCTTGATTCTAGCATCAAATCTATTTTACCCCGCGGAAATGGCATCTGCTACGCCAACCCTCGAGTAGCTTGGTATCTGATATGCCATTTGGTAGGTTAACAATGTATCCGTGTAGATGATGTCCATGTTTTGGAATATCACATGGATGCTGTTGTGCTTTGGTAGAGATCCGCGACACATAAACAGCTATCAAACAATCAACAAAAGCCGGATTCTTGGACCAAATTCTAGGTATAAGTTTGGCTCTCGAGAGGACATATAAATGTTGATATCTCTGTCAGGGATGGGGTAAGAATGGACTGCATCTGTCTCTGTTGGTCAGGACGGCCATGCTGCAGCGATGCTGTGGCTGGCCTGTCACAAACCGCGAACCGATCTCATCATCTTTCGCCTCTTGTGTTCAACTTCATCCCTCGCCGTCAGTCTTCACTGTCTTCTTCACTGTCGCCCTCTCGTCTCCTTGTCAGCTGGATGATATCGCCCGATCGGGTAAGTGGTCTTCCTGATGGCTTAAAACAGACATTGATTGCACGTGATGTCGGATTTTTCAATCTCAACTTTTTGCTTGTTTGCGTTTGTGATTTCTTCGCTGCCCAAGATATAAAAACATGACGAGAAGCTCTGCGATGGCTTCTTGTTTTGCTCGTCTTTCGGGACGGGAAAGATGAGAAATGGGGATATGCTACCATATCTAGGGCATTCTGGGAATTGAGTCCAGCTGAAACACGCTCGAGCTCTGCCACCAGCGTCGCACCGATGTGATATCACTCGAGCATATATCTCTGCAGATTCACTCCGTAACTAGTTAACTAACCAATGCCTTGTGAGAGCCAGGCATCATGGCTTGAGGGCAAAAGCTACCCTCCCTTCAATGACTGAAAATTTGGCTATATTTTGGGAGGGAGAGAGAAGTTTTCGCACAGCTCACATGGAGGGCCAACTAGTTCATGGCTGAAGCAGCCACTGGTCCCGTCTACCACGCTTCGCTTTCTCGACTGGGGGCATGTTCCCTCAGCGAGCCATTTCCCCTCTTGCTTTTTCGTTGCATGCATCGTCTGGCATGGCTGCGGCTGGAGGACGGTCTTGGGTGCAGCCCATGAAGCACTTGATTTCATGGCTTCCAGACAAGCTTCTTGAGGCGTGGAGCCAATATTGCCTCGAGAATATCGGTCCTACCGATGGAGCATCAACCCCCACTCACATCAAGGGACGAAATTCTAAGATGGCAGGACAAGTTATTGGGCCCTCAGCCCTGGATTCTCTCCTTATAATTCAGTGCGGCGTTTACGAGATCCTCTCGTTGTCCTGCAATGCGGAATCCAGAGAGTCTAAATTGTTAGCCTAAATTTGAGACGATTCCTCGAATGCAGCCATTGGCTCAAAATACCCTCCCTTGAATTTCTATCCAGACCGACTACGCCTAACATGCTGTTGACGTTACTCAAGACCGTATATCTTACTTAAAAAGTATGGGCCACGGTGCTGCAGTTGTCGTCAGGATTTGAACGGGAAATCTGTAGGCGATGCCAAAAGATATTCCCATTGGATCTTGATATGCTGTTCTCTAGCAAGGCAAGGGTTGCCTTGTATGATGACGCCGCTGAAGTGATGGCAAGGGACGGTGGGACCTCTCTCAGTAATGTACAACTAATGCAGAAGATACGGAGTATATAGAACAGAGCCTTTTCTCGCTGGATTTCAGGAAATCTAGCAAGAGTTCACCTCCCTCTCACCTAGCCCATTCAATGCCAAACTGCTAGGGAGAGATTTCTCCTTTATTTTTCTCCGGCACAATGCTTTCCTCAATCAAGGAAAACTCCAACCTCAAAGAGGAGAACAACAACAATGGGTTCCAAGTTGACCTTGAAAATCCCGGGTCTTTGGACCAGAAGGCCGAAGCCCATAATGGGGATTCAGTCCGGTCTGACGATTCCTCGAGTGAGACTCCTCCCATAAAGACCCTCAAGATTGAGCGCAGTCTTCGCCAATTCGAACTATGGCTGGGTCGAAAATTCCACATTGAGACTCGAGGAATTGAACGGGTAAAGGAAGAAGATAAGCAGCCACCACCGCTTCGAAACACATTCCTCATGTGGTGGAGTATGTTTTGCAACCCCGGTGGCCTCCCCATAGGTGTCCTCGGAGCGCAATGGGGGCTTTCTCTACAGGAGTCGGTAATTGCTACTGTTGTCGGTACCATTATAGGAGCACTCTTGGTTGCATGGTGTGGTGTGCTGGGCGCAAAGGTGAGTTCTCCCCTAACTAGTCTATTATTTTGTGCTCGGGTTGACATGTTCCCTTATGTAGCTTGGACTGCGTTCCATGGCGACTTGCAGATATTCGTTCGGCTATTATGGCGCTAAACTCATATCTGTCTTGAACTTGCTCTTGGGTATCGGGTACGCTGTCATTAGTACCACCGTCTGCGGCCAGTTACTCCCTGCCGCCGCAGACTACAGAATCTCGACCAGCGTCGGCATCTATATTGTTTCCGCCCTGTCCCTCTTTATCTCTTTCTTCGGCTTCTCACTTATCCACAAGTTCGAGAGTTACTCATGGATACTTGCATTTATACTTTTCTGTGTCCTCCTTGGACAAACAGTGCCACACTTGACCCCTGAAATGATCCAGTTCAATCCTCACCGAGAAGGCTTCGCACCTCTTTTCCTGTCATACACATCGTTCACCGCAGCCGGTACATCTGGCTGGGCTACAGCCATCGGCGACTACTACTGCCATTACCCAAAGTCAGTTCCTCACTGGAAAATCATGTTATTGACACTCCTCGGGTTTTCCGCTTCGTCTGCCTTTGTGGCCATTGTCGGGTCCTGCGTTGGACTTGTTGCCATTCATGGGGAAGCCCACTTCCAGGAATCATATGCCGTGCATGGCTTGGGAGGAATCGTGGCGGAAATATCACACCCTGTCGGATGGTCCAAGTTCCTGGTTGTCATGATGCTATTCACCGTTATCGGAGGCTTGATCGCAAACTACTACTCCGCCGGCCTGTCAATTCAGATCTTGGGTCAACACTTCCGCTACATCCCACGTTTTGTCTGGAGTTTGCTCATCGCGGTGCTCATCACTGTGCTCTCTTTGCTGGGCAAAGATCACATTGTTGAATTGGTTGGAAACCTTGGAAATATGCTTGGATATCTGACCGCCGGTTACTCCGTCATTGTGTTCATCGAGGACCAATGGTTCAGGAGGCGAGATGGGTACGACTTGCAGGCGTGGGATAACAAAAACGGGCTTCCATGGGGTGTGGCAGCCGTGGGAGCAATGGCTGTGTCGTACGGTACTGGAGCTGTCCCCGGAATGAACACAACCTGGTATATCGGGCCCATTGCTGCCATGTTTGGCAATCCAGCAGGTGATGTAGGTCTTATCCTGAACACCGTCTTTACTGCCTTTACCTACTTTATCTTCCGGACTATCGAGAAAAGGTTTGTTGGACGGTAGTCAGAGTCTACCAGGTACAGAGACGAGAGGTTGGCAATTGGTATTTCACAACCACTTTCAGAAACGAATAATGATAGATGCGAATTTACTTTTATAGTATATCTCTCACTTTACGGTCTATATAGCTAATATGGCAATAAAAAAATGTTCAATGTTTTTTTTTTTTTTTCCCACTTGATCAACTGTCCATCTCAAAGTTGAGGATGTCGGCCTCCACCTATCAATCCATCAAGGTTATCCATGTCTGCTACGACTGCTCGAACCAACAACCCCCACGGTCAAGCCATGAAACGTCAAAACGTCGAGCATCTCTGCTCATAGGCAGACGACGTCCTGCCTGCTCCATCTGATGAGACATGCTGCACACCTCCTGTGGAACACAGTGACGACAAGCCGTCGATCATCCAGGACTCCCCTGCCACACGATCTCCACCAAGACGGCGGAAAGACAGGACAAGACAGTTGATTCTTCGGCAAACTCACCGAAACATCCTTCCCATGCATACACATCCTTCGCTTGGGTGTCTTTCAGGCAAATGCAGGGTACGACGATTCAGCAAGTCACACAGGATCAATAAGCTATCCGGCAAGACTCGGAGGAGGGTTCTTGCTCCCAATCTTGGAGAACAGAAGCAAAAGCGAGATTGAACATATTAACAATTTTTTTGAATTTTAAAATATTTCTCTGGTCTTTGGTTTCTTTCAAAGGATTATTTAAAACGCAAAAGGTAGCACACCTGGGGGACATTAGAAGAGAAGTCTGCTGCTGCTGGAACCACCAGACAGTCTGGGGGGTCTTTCTGAGCCTCCCTCCCACTTAAAATGAGCAAGGAAGATAAAATAAAAGACAAGTGAAGATAAAAAAAAAAAAACACAATCCACTTAATTCCGATAGTCGACCTGTCCTGTCTGTCATATGTTGCTGTTGTAGAGTGTTGTTCTGGGTCGATGGTAGTTGAACCGATTGGTTTCATGTGCGGGCTTTGGTTGTGGTACAGAGCGACGGGATCGAAGGAATAGAAGTGAATCCCAGGATGCATGCAGGGCTTTTTATGTGTGTATGTGATAGACAAAGCCGAATGGCGGAGGACGAAAAAAGGGAGCAGAGCAGATAACGCAAAAACAGCCCCCCGTAGTGCCTTGATTCCCATGATTTACAGTTCCGGTTTGACGCCAATGATTGTTGCTAGTTCGAGTAAATGCATCGTGAAAGGGGTGGAAGGAAAAGATCTTGGTATCTTAGAAAGGAAATAGACGGAAAAGAAGATGTCTGGTGGGAATGGGAGAGGATGATGGACAATCTCGAAAAGTGGAATATGAGGGGGTATCAGCTTTTTTTTTTTTTTTTTTTTTTTTTTAATATTTCGAGCGGTCGGGTGTGCTCTCGAGGACGATCGTAAGGGACGCTGAGGGGGCTTTTCTGAGATACGACGAATGGGATCGGTGCGAAAGGCAAAGGGCAGAGGAGGGGGGTTAAACGGCCGTTAGAAGGTAGCAGCATGCCGAAGAAGAGGTAGAAGCGCTCGAACTGAAGTGTGACTGGATCGTTAAAAAAAGGATATTTGATATCCTGGTCGTGACGGAATTGGAAGCAGAACGTATCCGATCAACGGTCATCCGGGTCGGGGTTCGTCAACTGCATCTCGTTAGTACAGGGAATCTATTTCCGAGGAATCGAAGTAAAGGGGGGAGAGGACGGCCGACTTACTCGCAACACGGGTCGAGAATAATCCTGGTTATCCTGCAGAGAAACGTTGCTATGACGACCTCCATGGGAGTAAACCAAGGCATCCTTCTTCATTCGATGGTCGGTGAAAGCGGGGATACTCAGACGAGCTGTGCTACCTCTACTACCTGCTGTAGTACCATTCCCATTAGCAACTGGAGCGACTCTCATGGCCGGGACGCGGCTGCTTAGTGTGTTTTCAAAGATAGGCTGTGGAACTGGGGATTCGTGGAAAGGCGAACGGTAGCTATCATCAATCTTAGCCTGTTGGCGGCGACGGAAGCAGAAGAGCCACAGGATAATGCCCGTGAAGATGGCGAATACGGCCAAAGTGCCGATGATGATTCCAGCAATGGCACCGCCGGATAGCGAGGAGCCCTCGTTGCTGGCTGGAGGGTGGGTTTGCGCTGGTGCGTTCGGAACCGTGATGGTAGTGACCCGTCCTTCTACGGTGGTGATCGAAGCAGTAGGATCGGTAGTTGTCGATGCGGGTGAAGTTGTTGTTTTCGAGGTTTTCGTAGACGACTGTATCAAAGAAACGTTAGTTCAGGGGGGATTCAACGTCATTCACAAACAAAAAGCCGGAGTTCTCAAAGGCAGTCAAAAGCAGGTGAGAAAAGCAAAAGTAAATCCGTCTCTTTCAGGGGGGGAAGGAATCGTAGCCCTACAGATGAAGATGTAGAAGAAAATGAAGAAGAAGATGATGATGATGACGATGAAGTTGAGGTAGGCGATAGTGTAGTGGTGCGAGTCTCTGTGCTCACACTGGCCCTGCTGGTGGTCTGTACACTTGGTGTCAAAATCATCTGTGTTGATTGAGATGTCTGTTCGGGTGCAGGAGATTGGGATTGCAGGGTAGATGAAGAAGATGAAGGAGAAGGTGAAGGTGAAAGTGAAGAAGAAGAAGATGATGAAGAACGATTCCCCCCCATGGCAGCGGTAGTAGACATGTCTGTGCTTGATGATGAAGAGAACTGAGTGCTACTAACCGACGAGGTAGTGGTCGATGACGGGTTACCAATCGTCGTGGACGGTTTCTTGTCGAGCATGATGTAGGCGAAGAGGCCCTCCGAGGTGTTTCCGCACTTGTCATCTGGGTATCCGGGGCAGTTCTGGTTGCATCTGCCGTTCGGGATGGTGTCTTTCGGGGCAGCATTCGTGCACCAGCACGTCTTCCCCTGAAGGACAGCAAAGGCGTATTGGGTCCCGCATGTCTTCTGACACGCCCCGATAGACTGGAAGCCATCGACAACTATTCCAAGTTGTCAGTTTAGATACGTACAGGGGTATAATAATTATGCCTACCAGAGTTAAAGGTGCTTCCCGTGTTGAATTCGGCGCAGTAGTCGAGGTCGACGGCCGCAGCTAGAGCTGGATACAAGATGAGGAGCGAAAAGAGCAGAGATATCAGGTTGCCATGGGGGTTGGGAGCCATTTTTATATGACCACCAGGTTGACAGGGGGGAGCTCTTGTTTCTCACAGAACAAACTTGCTTGTAGACTGGCAGGTAAGCTGTTAGCAGGGGGGGATTTGATGCTTCAGGGCAGAGGTATCAGGGCAGGTATTGGGGGCAGATGTGAGGGCAGCAGGCAGACTTGCAGAGACTCAGGTTCACAGAGAGGAAGAGAGGGAGGAAAGAAGAGAAGAGAAGAAGAACAGGGCAGTTAAAGAGAGTGTGTTCCTTAACTGCTCGGCGGAAGAAGATGGAAGAGTCCGCAGGCTCCTCTCATCACCATGGCGATGCAGATAGAAGTGGTAACAGTAGTTGTTGTGTGATAATGGTAGTGGTAAGAGGAAGAGGCAGTGGTTGTTGTTGGTGGTGATAGGGGATAGACTCACAGATACACACAAGGCAGAAGAAGTCAGGGACAGCATCCACTTCTCATAACTTGCTTGCAGGCAGTCAAGAGTCTTCCTATAATTCACCAGGAGGCATCAGCCAGATTCACAGCCAGCATGGCACCACCAGCCCTTGTTCCAGCCAGCAGACAGCCCGGCATCCAGCAACAATGGAGTATTATCAGACTTGACGGCAACTTACACCATCCGCGAGAGCTGGACTCAAAGAAAGACGCACGAGACAGGGAAAGGAGAGGAAACGAGAGAGCGAGAGGGAGCCGGCCGGACAGGTCTTGAGACCCTACGCAACGTCCATCCGGGGAGACGGCCGTCTGGTCTGTTCGATCGAGAGAGCGAGAGAGAGAGAGCGAAAGAGAGAGAGAGGTCTAGAGGCCGCAGGGCATAACTGACGACGAGGCCGCGCTGAGACGACGGGAGAGCCGCGAGAGTGTCCTTGCTCCTGCTGGCGTTCTGGCCGTTCTTCGACTTTGTTTATCTTCCGCCTCTCACGGCCGAGCGAGAGTGAATCGCTGCGAGACGGACAAGCGGGCACAGAGAGACTGACTGGGGGGGGGACGTCACCCAGGCCGAATTGGTTGCGAGCGAGCGGCCAACGGGGGGGTGGTGAGGCAGACGAGGCCAACGAGCGACTTGAACGAGGGTCCGGCGAGGACAAACGACGAGCAGCGAGCTGGGAGACGCAAACAGAGAACACGCAAAAGGGACGGTCAAGACGGTCAGAAGAGAGACAGAGAGAGAAACAGAGTGAGAGGGAAGAGGGAGAGAGAAGTTGGAAGAAGGGGAGGCAAAGAGACCGGCCTTGCGGAAGGTTTCCTGGCCCGCCAAGTGTGCTTTTTCCTCCTGCTCGTCCCCTTTCGTGCCTCCAGACGGCGGCTTCGTATCTTCTGCTGGCCGCTGCTGCTGCTGGACGTCTCTGCCGGCGGCCTCTGGCTTACTTGCGGCGGCTGTCCTGGCTCAATGGCTCGTCGGGCTCGCTGCAAGCTCGTCGCGAGTCTCACCCGAAAGCCTGTGACATCTACAACATCTACAACACACACACACTACGGAGTACTACCAGCAAACACACTACTTCGATTATACTACAAGCAAGCAGAGCTGGCCCTGACCGACTCTCTGGGCCGAATACGACATCGAGGCAAGGGACTGATGGGTCTCCTTTCAATAAATAAAAATCAATCCGGCAGTGCACGGTGCTTATAAGAACTTCTGGGGATGGGAGGGATGGAAGATCCGAAATTAATAGTTAGCAGAGGGCTAATAATAAGGTACAACCCCCCCATATTATTATTATGATTATTGATTTCGCCCTGTTGGACAAGAGCAAGACATTTATTTCCCAGTTGCGGGTTGCCCGTGCTGGCCTTGCTTTTCTCTCCATCCCTTTTCCCGCGTCCGTTCGATGCATGCTACGCATCAGAGGCGCTATACTCACTCACCTATGTACACCACCGGGCGATGCCAACCCGCACATCGCCCATCAACGAGGGAGAGACGAAGAAGAACCGGCCAAAGAGACTGACGAACTCCCAGCACGAGCTCGGGTTCCGCTTCCCCTGTCATCGTTTGACGCCTGTTAGCTTCAATGGTCCCAAGCCGAGCACCGCCATAATACCCACTCACCGATCTCGATCTCATCGTATTTCCTTGCCTGCAGGGAGAGCAGTAGTGCTGCATAAGTAACAACTCTTTTTGCCTCGACGAGAGAGCGTGGATCGGGAGCCCGTGTATATACGTAAGCACGGCTGCATCTGACAGTCACTGCATTCGACATGTTGGATCTTTGGATCTCTCTAAATATACAGCCCGGCAATTCACATCCTCTCAACAGAGACAGACAGCCACACACACATATACATACTCCGTACTCGTCCACATATCTCCTGACCAACTTCTTTATCTTCTCGGCCGTCGCTGAGACCCCCCCGAGTCCATCCGCCCCTATGAGGTTCCCACTCTCCATTCCGTAGACTGGAGATGGATAATTCTTGTCTCTCTCCCTTGCCAACAAACGGACGCCACCTCAGGGAGGACCCCCTGCCGTATCCACAAAAACTCGTGGCCAGCGGCTTGTCAAGCTCGCAAGCAAACTGTTTCCTCTGCACCAGCCACTCCGGTCCGTGAGTGAGGGACTGGGATTATAGGTGTTATGTAATATGCTTCCCAGCCGCCCCCAGCCAGCTCATTTTATATGTGCAGATATATCAACAGCAGCCTCTCTCAACAGGCATCCCCCAGCGTACCTATCTTATTTTAACCTTGCGGGCGCCGGCCGAAGTCCCATCCCAAGCAACCCAAAAAGAAGAAGAAAAGACATCATTAACTCTCTCTGGCTAAGGAACCAGGAACAGGCTTTGCTGGATTCCACTCATCCAAGTATTTGCCCACCCGCTCCAACTCTACTGGAACACCCATCTGGGGCGCTCCAAGCAAAAGAAGAATATGATCATACACAGCAAAAAGAAAAGAAAAAAAGTAAACGTCATTATTCTTCCCAGTTTTTCGTTGCTTTTTTTTTTTCCTTCTGCATCATTTTTTTTTTTTTGCCTCCTAGTTACGTACTTACATAAGAACCAGCGATGATGAATAACGCCTCGCATTGAGTTCTCTCGTCCCGTCGACTATTGGCCCGGCTGCCTCCTTGATAAGATCCGACTGATGAAACAGAAACACAGCGGGTTGGCGACATGGTAGTCCTCGTCATTGGACGACTTTACGGGATGGCCTTGGCTTGCGTGAAGGAATGCGTTTCAGACTTGCTGTTGCTCATTCGTCGCTACAGGGCTCTTCTTCTGGTCAATCCGCAGGTTGTCCTCCTGAGGCCAGACTAAAGGTCGGGTTTAAACATAGCCGCTTCCTTTTAATCTTCGCCTGGCCGGGATGCGGAAACGAGCCCCTTATATAAAAATACGTTTGAGGTCCTGCAGCCGTTCGTTTTTTTGCGTGGCGAGTGGTGCAATGGGGGGGGGACCACCTTGTGGGAACGATATCCGCTTAGTAAGTAGGTACGGATATGCCAGGAGAGAATGTTCACTGAACGGTCTCTTTTCCTGTGTTGTTGTTGAGAGTAAAATAGATATGGTGTTGTCAAACTACCTCTCCGCATTATCATAAAAAACGATATAACGGTCCGTTAATAGAAACGGTTTATTCGCCACAATTGTTCCTCAGAAACGGTAACTATGAATCCACCGGTTTCCAAACCCATCCTTATTCACACGCCCACTCATGTGCTTCCCAGGCCTCGCATGAATGGAGAGGGGATGAGCTAGGCACCTGGATCGAACCACCGCACCGTTTGACCATTTTCAAGGGAGGAGATGGACACATCCACAGTATTCCCCTGATTATATGATCATACTAGACAAACATGTACCTGTTTCAACGGCGTTCGCCAGTACGGAAACATCCTAGAGTATAAGAGACCACCTTACCGTTTAGAGGCGGTGCTAAAGTTGCTAGATATACGGTGAATAAGATATTCCGTGAAAGTAATTAGGTGCATTCCGGGGAAGGGCTATAGTCTCGAAAATATCACTTGTCTAGACCTGGAATCTATACAGGCAGATATTGCCAGGTGGTGGGATTTGTGGAACTTCATATTGCCATATGGCCTGGATAGGCCCTTCTCGACCGATGCTAAGTGATTTTGAGCTTGAACCCATCTCCCTTTAATGTTCATAGTAATGATTGCTCATGGCGTGAAGATATCTCTACCATGATCATGAGCGAGTTTCCATGAATCAAGCTATTTTGTCTGTCGCCAATTGGTGGACAGGCCTTTTTTTTGGCGCAGCTGTTTGATAGTGAGTCAACTCAGTCTCACGTACCAACGCATGGGAGTCAAGCCACAGATGCAAACATTGTTCCCGCCAAGTAGGACTAAATATGCACTAACAGGATGTCTTTCTTATGATACGGAGTATTTCGACCTTCTTTTGGAGATCGTTTGTGAATGAGTTCTCCAGCCGTTCCATACCCCTGCAGCCAAGTTCTTCTAAATCTATCAAAAGACGCTTCTATGGCCTCACTGAACGAGTTGCTGGTTCTGGTATACATGTATCCTGAGTGTCCCAGCAAAAGATTGCATCTCAAATTATCACCCTAGAAGGATATAATAAAAGCATTGAAAAGAAAAAAAAAAAAAGTGAAAAAAATGAAAAAAAGATATTATTATTATTTGATATTTAAGTTCCCGCTAGTTATTGGCCACGGTCATAACCTAAATTAGGCGATTTGCCGCGAGAAACGCGGTCCGAGGGATCTCCGGAGCTTCCGAGGCGGCGGGCTGGACCTTTGCTCTTCGACTCGGACAACCGCCATCTTTTCACAATATTTATATTTGAACATGCACGATGCAACTCTAAGGGTTGGGAAATCTCGTTTGACTGCACATGGATAAGTGGAAAGTCTGTTGTTTCTATTGCTGCTGGGCCACTAGTTAGAGGGGCTAGGGGAAGATATGAAATACCCAACCATGAGTATTGGTTTTTTCAGTCGGAAACAATATCTCAGTCACTCGTGGATTGCAGTTTATATTGTACCAAGAATCGCCGCAACGGCCAACATTGGTTTCC